GAATGTCACGTTGGAAAGTAAATGCAAAGTGACTGCATAGCTTTCCTTAAAGACTATTTAATCTAGCTATATTAGACTTACAATATTTCTCTTGGTATTTTAAGTAATAAAAGCTATAATCATACAGTCATCACATAAACAATTAAGAAGCTTAATCATGGGAAATTATCTTCTTTGACATCAGTGTTGCTGATGAACCTATTAATCTGAACTAACCTTTGACAGGACCAACTTCCAGTTTCCAAAGAAGCAAATATGAAGAAAACAAACCTCCTACTGATGTAATGCAAACTCTCAACTATTTCTATTCTCAAGAAACTAGTGATGTTGTTTTGCCCTGAAGCATCAGTTTATACTTTTTTCTTTGGCTGATGTCTTTATTCAATCCAGAAATCTTTTCTCAGGCAACACTTCCAGTGAAACCAGTTGGATTTTGTCCAAGCAAATACTCAATAAAACTACAGAAAGAATAAAGCACTTTATCACCAACTTTTAGAAAGAAACTGTTTCTGCACAGTTTGTTTTAACATAAGGTCTCACTGGAGCGTCTAGGCAGTAGAGCAAGCAATACAAGTCAGCTGAAATGGACTGATGTTCAGTATTTCTTGGGATTTGGCCTACTTCAAGATTTTTCTCTCCCATTCTAATAATTTTTTCTTTTTTAAAGTTGATATGGTAGAAGGCACAACTCTTCTCGCATTCTTTAGATGATAAACTGCTTAGGGCACGATGGCTCTGTGTTGGTGTAGTGCCTAATGCAGTGGTCCCCAGTCAGACTAATGGTCTTACATTTTATTTTTAAATTGCAACTAAACCATAATTTGGAAACCTAACTTTTAAATAATGACACTGAAGGTGACAGTATACCAAAATATAGATAATGAAAGGAGAAGTCTATATGAGCTGGAAGAGTCATGACAATAGAGAGGTTATTGCTGTGATAGTATAGCAGTGCATACAGAAAGCAATCCCAGTTCCTTCCGATGGCTCTGGAAGACCTGGCTTGATTTGCATTTTATTAGCTAGCTTAACAGATATAGGAATAGCAGTAATTTTACTTTGAGACAGACAACAGAATTTTTTGTTGTTGTTGTTGAGTAAGAAGGTAATAAATAAATCCTTGTGATGTGTTAATCTGTTAATTTCAGAAAGATTGTAATTTGAGCTATTTTGATACCAAAGATTTTTGATAAAATAATTGTGAGCTCAGAGCCTTTCAAATACCTCGCTGTGATGATTCTGTTAATATGGATGTGACATAAATGTAAATAAGTTGCTTGTGAACCACTAGAATAAGATATCCGAAACGTATTACAAGGTATGGTCTTTGTACACTTTGAATCAAGCTGTAAATTACATAGCTTAGTTTATAAAAAGTGCCCACTGAGACAACATTATTTAGCAGTCTCACAAATTATTACTCTTGACATCTCTTGGTCTACTAGGCCAAAGAATCTGAGAGAATGAAAAAATGTTACTAATTCTGGGCAACATTTTCTGTGTAAGATCATTTAAGAACATTAAGAAATATTAACTCTACTTCTTTATTTCTGTTGAGCTAAACCCATACTTTTATCAAATTAATGTGACTGGGTGGGTGCCCAGTGTCCAACACAGCAAAAAAGTGATGTATTAAAAAAGCCCCATCTAATATCAGTCTAACCTGCCATATAGCATATATAATCTCTTGAGAACCACACTGGCCACCTAATTTGGAGGAGCACTGACTCGCATGCTTAGTATTAGAGAGAGATGGAACTCCTAATTGACTTTAACACAACTTAGATGGAAGCTTGAAATAAATTATACAGCCAAACTAATCATGTAATGTGATGCTTATCCAAGTGTAGGACTTTATACAGAAAGGCCTATGGTTGTAAAAATTTTGAACTAGGGTAACTCTTTTTTCACTGTACTACTTCCTCAAAGCATTTCCAAGTCAAGTTCAGCATCTTTCTCTTTGTCTTCCAGGAGCTAAAAACCACGGAAACCAAGTAGTAATCATAAAACTCCAAAATTAGAACCTTGCTCACAACTACCCTGTTTGACAGACTGATTTTTTCTACAGAAGTGATTTACAGATTGTTTTTACCATAGCCAGATCGAATGGTCCGCAGCTACTTCATGGAACCACATTAAGCCTTTAAAACCTGCAGTAACACACCAAGTTACAAGGCTGAACATTCTTCAGAAAATTTATAGGAGTGAGAGCAGTCGTCTGGCTCAAGAAGTCCAAAAGTCACTTCTGAGCAATACAGACAAGTTTGTGCACCAGGGTGCATGGATCTGCCTCAGGTCCAGACCAAGACTGTGGAACATGCTCTCCAAGAAACCACTACCACAAACCACATTTTGCTCTGCAAGTAAAGCGCTTGCCTTAGTCTTGCTTTCTCGGACCTACATATATAGCACCACATTTAATAGTGAACAGGAAAACATAACGTGGCCCCATAACTCTACTTGAATAAAACACTTCAACATGTAACTCCTGTTGAAGAAAGTGAGTATGGCAATAATCATAGATATTGCCTGTCTCAGCATCACCTCTAGAGCAACAGGCAGAAAACCATGCATAAATACATACATACATACACATGTACATGAAAGGTTTTAATAACTTCAGTTTACCATTCTCTGGGCTTAAAACTTTAACATCAGCAGTGACTTACCTGACAATGAAAAACTTATCAGTCTCCGACTTCCTTGTCCCTGGATTGAATCTTCATTGGTGATGCTTTTAAAAATCTGCTGGAAGAAAAATAACAGTGAGAGAGAGTAGTCTCCAATAACTCTCAAACAGATAAATCGCTTAACAACTTTTTTACAGATTCTTAGTTTTACAACTAAGAATCAATTAGATGACCATTAATCAAAACAATGTTTTTATCCAGGTAATAATTTAACCAGTAGCGGCCTAAGTCATCCATTCCTGGAGGCTCTTCCTTAAGAAAACACAATGATAAAAAAATACTACTGTAATTTTAATATAGCAGTTCCTCACCCAAAAAGGAACTGCTTATTAAACAGGAGATAAATGTAGCGCATAAGGATGGGGATACAGTCTCACCTCTAAAAACAACATCTTTGTAACATCTTATTACTAGTGTAGAAAACGTTGTTCCAGAAAGTTTATTGCATAGATGTGAGAGATTTCCAAGAGCTTACTACTACCCTGTACAAAACACAACTGTGAATTATCATAACAAGAAGCATTGAGGGTGATCTGGAAGAAAGGCTAAAAAAACTAAATCAATAGATGAACCTTTGTACTCCACAGTCTAGTTTTTAATGTCAGGCTTTGATTTAGCAAGTTTACTGGTGAACTGCTGTTGTGCAAATTAGGACCCAGGCTACCTTTCTGGCCGTAATCAGAACTGGGAAGCAAGAATGCCTTTGAGCCAGTGTCTGGGGCATCAGCAGGA